TGGAAATTTCTATAATGCCTGAAAAGTAGAGTTCATAGTGATTGTCTGACATTCTGAGGTTGAGAAATGCTAGTTGCTCACCTTTCTACTTGGAGACTTCCATCTCAGTGACAGACCAAATTTTCTTAAAAGAAACACCCCTTCAGATCATTGCTGTGTGTAATTCAACATAAACTGCCTCATTCTTATTTGTGAAATCAGGACATAAATCTTATCTTCTTAGTAGTTCACAGTCCTATTATAAATCCAGGGTTCCGAGTACCTGGTATCTTTCTTAGGCATTTACCGAAATGATGATATTTTCACAGAGATTTTTTGATACATAGGAGGTGTCATAATAGTTTATAGAAAGAAACTATTCAAGGATTTTCTCCTACTGGGGAAGAGATGCTCAGGGAAAAATGAGATAAGATTTCCTGTATGATGATCTGGTTGATAGTTTCTTTCTGCCTCCCATGAGTATAATTTTCTGTATTTGGAAATAGTATCAACCATTTCATTTGGGACTAGAAACTTAGCTCTAATGATATGGATGCAGGGTACCTCCATGGCAATATCCCATCTTAAAATAGTCTCTAAAATATTTGAGGACGCTTTTCACTGTTTTATTTAATCTTTTCAATTAAAGTATGGGGAAATAATGATTTGTTATCATTAACAAAAGTTGTTTCTTTATATTCCATTATTATTTTAAGGTTAATACATAGTTTCATGGGAGGGGTTGGAGATGAACATGTTGGTTTTAGGATCTTTGGCAATGAACAGAGATGGCGGGAGTATAAACAAATAAATATTTAAACTGGTTTATTTAAAATATATGTTTGTGAAATGATTTTTTCATAAGAGTACAGGTGGAAAATTCTAGTAGCAGTATAAGAAAAGAGGAGGAATAAACCCATAAAATTATAGGCAATGGACAATGGTGACTGCTTTTTATTTTATGTTTTCATTGAAGTCAATCAGTGGAAACTTCTAAACTAGGCAATTTGATAGTAATCCAGAGGAAAATGCATTATATTAATGATTAATGGCTTAAAACAGACACTTATATGTGCATTGTTTAATGATAATTGTATATGTATCTTTATAACGTCTTTGTTTATTGATAACTTTTAACTGATCTGACTAGTATGAAAGGTAACACATATCTCCATCACTTCCAAGGTATAAAATAGAATTAAACACTGATTAATCAGTAATTCCAACTCAGAGTCTTAGGGGAGGAGGAGTTTGTTACACGGTGGCTACCAGGCATTTTCAACAAACATTACTGTATTAAAATTAGTCAGAGCTTGGACGAAGACAACCTCAATAAGCCACTTTCAGTCATGTATTCTTAATAAACCAAATAAACAAGCAAGAAATGGTGAAAAAGCAGAAAAGAACTTGTTGTCAATGGGAGCACATTGGGAAGAGGAATAAAGAGGTCCAGTGATTCCATCTGTGCAATAGGTTTCTATATAAGGTAAGAGATTTGCCTAACTAAACAGTCCTGGCAAGTGTTGTATACCATTTTCCACTGAGTTGAAACATTCAATATGCCTCTGCCTATGAAGAATTGTTCTCTGGATTGTGACGAGCTGCGGTTTTCTCTAATAGTCTCTTTCTGTTTCAAGGAGAAGCTCTTTGTGTGAGAACTGGAAGTTATACCTATCTGTGGTTATAATAATATGTTTGACTCAACTCCAAATGGATCAAAGACCTCAACATGAAACCATCCACAATGAACCTCATAGAAGAGAAAGTGGGAACAGAGAAAAATTCAGAGCTCAATAAAAATCAATAAAAAAAAATAAACTTGGGTGCCACCAGAGGTAAGCCAATCAAGCAAGTGAAGGCTATTTTGGAAAGACAGATACCATGTTCTCTTTCTTATGTGGTTCCTAGATCTTATGTTGATCTATAAAATCATGTGTGCATATATGACATGACATTAGAAGAGAATTGAAACTGCCTAGGAGAGAAAAGGGGAAGAGGGAGGGGAATGTGGGAGAATATACTTGATTCCAACATTTACTTGTTTAAAATGTCCTTATTTACTAACCAGTACCATATGCAATGACTGTGTACAATGATTATTCAAAAAGTAAGCATAGCTAAGCTGGTTTACTAAGGAGAACCCCGCACCCAAAAGAAAAAAATGGGAAGTACACTTGAATGCGTTGGCACAGGAGACTACTTCCTATATATAACCCCAATAGCATAGACACTGAGAGAAACAAGTAATAAATGGGACCTCCTGAAAGTGTATGTAAAGCAAATGACACGGCCAACAAGACAAAATAGCAGCCTACATAATGGGAAAAGATCTTCACCAATATCACAACTGACTGAGGGCTTATCTCCAAAATATACAAAAGAACTCTACAAATTGGTCATCAAAATTACAAATAATCTAATAAAAATGGGTATAGACCTAAACAGAGAACTCTAAAAGAGGAATCTAAAACTCTGAGATTCCATTTTACACCTGTAAGAATAGCCAAGATCAAAAACACGGATTATCAACTTATGTTGGAGAGGATGTGAGGTAAAGAGAACACTTCTGCATTGTGGTGGGAATGCAAGCCCCTTTGGATATCAATTTGGTGATTTCTTAGAAAATTAGGAAACAACCTACCTCAAGACTCACAAATACCACTTTTGGGTATACACCCAAAAGACGCTCAATTGTACCTCAAGGACATGTGCACAACTATGCTGATAGCAGCATTGTTTGTCATAGTTATAACCTGGAAACAACCTATTGCCCCTCAACCGAAGAGTGGATAAGGAAAATGTGCACATTTACACAATGGAGGACTACACAGCAGAAAAAAATAATGACATGATACTAGTAACCCAGAATACTAGAATGCATGATACTGAGTAACCCAGACCCAGAAAGAGAAATATAACATAAGTACTCACTCATAAGTGGCATTTAGACATAAAGCAAAAGAAAAAAAACAGCCTACAATTCACAATTCCAGATAATCTAAACAACAAAGAGAACCCTAAAAGAGACATACAAGGATCAAATGTACATGAGAAGTGGTAAAACAGAAAATCTTCGGAGTAAATTGAGAGCCTGTGGACCTTGGGGAGCATAGGAGGGGAGGAGAGTAGAAGATAGGGGAGCAGAGGAAAAAATATAGCTCAATAAAAACAATAAAAAAAGAATATGCTTTTGAACCCAGTTAAAAATTATACTTTGCTGACGTGAAACTGCATTGTACTTTTACATCTGTTTGGGATGTAATTCATTAACCCTGTGTGTTCTGTTTTCAGATAGAGGCTCAAGATACATCATGCTTCTGAATCACATGGGAATTAGCTAGAAATAATTTGAAAGAACCAGAGATAGCCCCTGAGTTGAGAAGCATTGCCTGACAAGGATAGACCACACTTCTGTCTTTATTTTTGATGCATATTTTTCTTTCAATGTAGTAGTTTTCCTTGAGGGTATTTATTTAACATCTCTTGTTTGTGGCATAATTCTAATACATAAATATTCTATTGCCTATCAGTTTTCAAGTATACCAAGGATAAATCAACCATGTATTTTCTCATAATAATTGTATATTTAATGCATAAATAAATACTTGGTAACAAAATGCATAGTTTTATTCTATTCAATCCCAATGAATATGAAAAAAAGCTGGATGTAATTTTGCACCTAGAACAAGAGAATTAAAAATTACATATACATAAATCTTGCAAGCAGCTCGAAAGGCAAAATGAAACATTCATATTTACACAGGCTTTACATTAGCATACACACATATAACATAGCATATATGTGCATATATGAGTAGCTTAAACATATAGGGTAACTTTCTATAGTAAGAAAATCAGTTGTGAAGATATGTCTAGTAAGGAAAAGTTATCTAATTCTGAAGACTGTTTTCCACAGGACGTGATAAGCTGTCATAGCATAGACAAGCCTATGTTCTGTGTTTTAAGCTAATCACAATGTTTGCAATGTCTGATCTGTAACCAGATGCTGAATAAACAGGTTCAAATGCTTATGCAGGGTGAATCTGTTGCCAGGACTCTGAGCAGAATAAGAGATGTGACTGTTAGTTAAGGATGTCTAAGCTTGTTTTTTGTTTCTTTTTGTTGAATATTTTTACTAATTATTTGAAAATTTTAAGCAATGTGTTTTGATTACTGTCCTCCCATTATCTCATCTTTTCCCCGATCATCCTCACTGCTGTTTACTAATACAACTTGGTGTCATCACTGACAAACAAAACAAAATGCAGAGTTCCAATTGTACTGCCTCTATAGTTTTAGATTTGTGGCCATTCACTGGAACATGTTAGAAATACTGGGACTACAGCCGTAAGGAAAACTCGCTCTCCCTCCCCCACCAACTATCAATAACCAATAGCTCCTGAGGCAGTGGTGGGACTCTGTGGCCACCTGTCCCCTTCGTGCTGTGATTTGTCTTGTTGAGCTTCACAGGTGTTGTGCCTGATATCACAAGTGCTGAGTTCGTATGCAGCTGTTCTATTGTGTCTGACAAACACTCTAATCCTCCACCACCACTGGATCTTACATTCCTCCACCTGTCCTTATGCAGTGCTTCTCAGGGAGAGGCAGGCATGATAGGAAGAGGAATATTTAAAACCAAAGACAGAACTTGGTGATTTCATATATATATTTATATGAAAAAGAATAATGGAACATACTTGCTTCAGTGGGTTTGTACATGGGAGGACAGGGTAAAGGGGTGAATTATGGGGACAGCTAGCACCAAGGACTTTTTAAAAAGAGTACTTTGAAAAACCTCTAATGCAGAAGATCTCTAAAGTGTAAGCATATGCACATAAGCTTATTTTTTTTAACACAACTTGTTTCCAGGATTTAAATTCCAGAGAAATCAGAAAGTAACAATTTTCTGTTATCTAAAATGGGACACAAAATAAAAAAGGAAATAACTGGATTAAAGGAATTGAGAAGTTGTCCTTGAAAGAGATGAGAAAATACAGGACATTTTGAGAAGGATAAAATGTTCATGAGAATTTTTTTTCATATAACTTCTTCAGAGCAAGTTTGACATCTTTATTTCTCAGGCTGTAGATCACAGGGTTCATCATGGGAACGATAATAGTATAAAAGACAGAGGACACTTTCCCTTGGTCCATGGAGCTGACAGATGATGGCTGTAAGTACATGAATGCAAGGGAACCAAAGAAGACAGCGACAGCTGATATGTGTGAGCTGCAGGTGCTGAAGGCTTTAGACCTGCCTTCTGTTGATTTAATATGAAGAATGCTAGCAATGATGAAGACGTAAGAGGTCAGGATAGTCAGAGTTGGAACAAAGATGTTAAAAACACTGAAACACAGAACAACTACTTCATTAATAAAAGTATCAGAACAGGAGAGCTCCAAGAGTGGATAAAGATCACAGAAGTAATGGTTTATTACATCAGCCTCACAGAAATGTACTCTTAGCATGCACACTGTGTGAGTTGTGGCACCAATAAAACCCATACTATACACCCCAAATATCATCCATGAACAGACTTGAGAGGACATTGTAACATTGTAAAGCAATGGATTACAGATGGCCACATAGCGGTCATATGCCATTGCAGCCAACATGTGACACTCTGCAATACCAAACACAAGGAAGGAGTAGAGTTGAGTCATGCATTCAGGATAGGAGATGATGTTCTTCACTGTTACAAAGTTCACTAGCATTTTGGGCGTAATGACAGTGGAATGACAGAGGTCAATTAAGGAGAGACTGCAGAGGAAAAAGTACATGGGTGTGTGCAGGTGAGAACTGAATTGTATGAGGGTGATCATGCCCAGATTCCCCACCACTGTGACCACATAGATTCCTAGAAAGAGGAGAAAGAGAGGCAGCTGAAGCTCTGGTTTGTCGGTTAACCCACCAAGAATGAAGTCAGTCACTCTGGAAAGATTTGCTTGTAACATTTTCTTCTGGGCGTTCTATGTAGAAAGAGAAGGAAAAATGAGCTAAGTATCTATTATATTATCACATAGTGAAGCGTGAATAAAGAATTCAAAATTTTATTTTGCCAAGCAAGCATCTTCAATTTTTGAACAACTACTCATACATGTTAACCATTAAGACTTACCAAAAGGGCACTTGCAATTTAATATAAGATACTTCTGTCCCTGATTGTGCCTTCTTCCATGAAAATGGTAGTACTCAGTACATAACCAAGGAGAAATCTGATGCATTTACTGGAGACTGATAAGAAAAATTCTTGAGTTATTTGCAATTCTTTCTCTATGACTCTAGAGAGAGAAAAATCTTTTCCATGTTACAATAAGAGAAACATCAACAAGACAAAAGATCATCAGCCTCATAACACAGCCCATCTCACATGTAATGATGGTCAACTAAAGGTTTTCTCTATAAGGATACGAACAGTTTAAGTTGTACTCTCACTGTCATTGTCTCTGTCTCTGTCTCTCTCTTTATCTCTCTCTATCTCTAAGTAACATTGTACTTAAATTTAAAACAATCAGGCAAGAACAGAAAATCAAAAGCATCTGAATTCGAAAAAAAAAAAAAACTACCTTTATATGTATATGAATTAATTTTTTATACATAAAGTTCCAAGAATGTAAGAAAGAAGCATAGTGGTTTATTTTAAAGGTCATAATGGAAGTGAGATCTGAGATCATGAAGAAAATTAAGCAATCATAAAAATCAATTTTAAATACTATGAAAAATGATAATACATTTAAGAACAAACTAAAGACATATAAGCCATTGCACTTTAAACATGGTCAAAATGATAAATCAATACAAACATAGAAAGATCTCCCATCTTCATGAATCACAATATTGAACTTTGCAAAATGGTAATGCCTCCAAAACCGGTCCAAAAGTTTAGTGTATTCCTAAAGAACAAACAAAATATTTCTATTACCAATAATGACATGTTGATCATATAAATTTTCCACAAAAGCAAGGGTCTGGGAATAATCAGAACAAACCGGAAAGAGAATAAAATTTGAAGTTTCTAGTTTCCCTAGTTGAAAATATACTGCAACCATTTATAATGCTGATAGTACAACTGTGTCATGAGATATAAGGAAATTGACATTCAGGAAAAAATATACCTCTAAAGATTATTAAAGTTATGTGTTTAATATTAATTCAGTGTAGGATCATTTTTTTAATACATGGGCAATTAGATGAAGCTGCATATTAAATAATAAATATGTAATTAACTTTCTTAAATAATCCTGGACTACTTCCCAGGGCTTGTGCTCTTCAAGCTGGACGGGATCTTCACATTTAATTCTCTAGCAAAGAATTTCTCATATCTTGCCACAGGTTAATTTTTCCAAGACATGAAATCTTTCCAGGTGCCTCTAGATTGTGTTAAATTGATCATAAAAATTAACTAGATACTATACTTATAAACCAAACACACAAATACACCACAACTAAACCATAATCTTTACTTTCTTGGTTCTCAAAATCTCAATTTAATATCCTAATTCAAAAAAACCATAAAATTTAAAAGTCCCAGTCTTTAAAAAAATGTTTAACACCTTAAAAGTTTCTTTAGAATTCAAAGTTTCCTAAATGTAGGACCATGAAAAATTCAACACAAATAAGTACTTTCTAATTCTAAAAGTGAAGAATCAGGGCATATGAAAAAATTATACTTAAGCGAATGCACACTCCTACGGTTAGAATAAAAATCTTCTTGCTCAGTGTTCAACACTTGGAATTCATTCATATTAATCCTGGCAGCAAAAGCTTGTAAAATCTCAGCTCTTTCGTTTTGCATCTATAGAACACACAGGTTTGAGGGAAATCAGTTTAGGAACTTGTGAACTAACTAAAAAATACTTAAAGTTTTAAATCTTGGTGTATTTATTTATTTTTAAATCCTTTCTTTCTTTATTGAAATTATAATATACCACAATATTTCTTCTTTCTAATTCCTCCCTCTAAACCCTCTAAACCTAGTATAACACTCATTGCTCTCTTTCAAATCTATGGCCTCTTTTTTCATTCATGTGTGCTACATACATAGTAGTTTATTTTTATTAATTTTAGAGATGAATATGTTATAAGCATAATATCAAAATGTAAGGAGAATTTTTTTCTTTAGGCTTTGAGTACTAATAGCACGTGTTATACATAGGTACTAACTATGTACAGCCTTTTATACTTCAATTCATCTGTTACTACTAAAAACCGGTCTCGCTGAACATAGCGGACAATGAGGACTACTGAGACCCCAAGAACAATGGCAATGGGTTTTTGATCCTACTGTACCTATTGGTTTTGTGGGAGCTTAGGCAGTTTGGATGCTCACCTTACTAGACCTGGATGGAGGTGGGTGGTCCTTGGACTTCCCACAGGGCAGGGAACCCTGATTGCTCTTTAGGCTGAAGAGGGAGGGGGACTTGATTGGGGGAGGGGGAGGGAAAGGGGAGGCGGAGGTGGGGAAGAGACAGAAATCTTTAATTAATTAATAAAGAAATAAATAAATAAAAAATAAAACTAAAAAAAAAGATTTATACCCAGTGAACAAGTCCACCTTTTCTATCTCAGCTTTTGTTCTCTGGCCATCATTATCATATTACTATTTCTATGGGTTTGTTCATTATAGTTACTTTATATAAATAGAACCATTTAGTAATCTCTTCTTTTGAGACTGGCTTATCTCACTTAGTTTTTTTTTTCCAGGTTCACTCAAAGTTTGCAAAACTAAAAGGAATGAAGTGATGGGTTATAACAATTGTTATTCTGGCAAAATATATTTAGAACTTTGGTTTCATCATTATTATTTGATAGATTATGAAACCAATTTAGTTTAGCACATAAAACTGTGTTTAGCCACTCAAGTTTAGCTTGTACTTCGTCTTTCTCTCTTCATTTTTCTCTGTTCATATTTGCTCTCCTCCACATTGTGTGGTCCCTAAGTTATCTAGAGTTTTCGCTAATGCTGTTGAATTTATCTTGTACAAATGATAATTATGCTTCATGAATGGAAATAAAAAATAATATTCTATAGTTGTATGCATTTAGAAAATATGTAAGACTACTCAAAGATTGAGTAATCTTGATTAATTATATTTAATTATCATGAAAAATATCTAATATAAATTTACATATCATACAGAATTTATTACAAAATTTTCAGAAAATTGTAATAAATACTTATATGGTGATAATGAATAAACAATATTGTTTGGCTGTGAATGGGAACTGATAAAATTCGGATAACAATCATCAGAAAGCATTTTATAGGTATAAAGTCCCTGTTCCTTAAAATGTTATAAGGAGAGAGGAAGGCAGTTCATAGAATGCATAAAATAACTGAGCAGAGCAGAGTCCAGCTGTTTGGTGCTTAGTCTAGAAAAGGGGCAGCGAAGTATTTTTCAAGAGAACTGTAAACTTGAAAGGATAAGAAGAAATAAGGTATGTTCATAAAATATTAATTTTATATTAAAAACACCAAAACATAATAAAATTTTCAAATGATTTATTATTAAAAGAAGCAATGAAAATGAGAAAAGTATTAGGAAATCCTCATGAATAGACACAGGCAAATTGTTTACTCTAAGTTTTACAGTGTCTCACAGGATTTCTACACTGGAGTTATTTGTGAAACCTGAAGAATTGTTTAAAAGTAACTTACCCATAGTATCTATATGACATAATAAAAATAAGAGTTGCTTGGTTTTGTTGTGTATCACCTTAGATATCTATATCCACTGAAATACATTGTGTAACAACAAAATTCAATTCAAGCATGCCTGGGAGAAAGCTTGGTTCCAAACACACAAGTGATATTTTTGGCTTAAATTGAAAGTTTCTGTAATTTCTGAAATGTAGAGCTCATGGTGGTTGTCTCACATTCTGAGGTTGAGAGATTATAGGACAAATGGGTATTAGTTGCTCACCTTTCTACTTGGAGACTTCCATCCCAGTGAAAAAGAAATCAAGTTTTCTTAAATGAAACACTTCTTCATGTCATTGGTGTGAGTAATTCAAATTAAAACCTGCCTCATGTGGGATCAGAACATAAATCCTATGTCCTGAGTTCTATTATAAATCTAATGTCATGAGTCCCTGGTATCTTCCTAAGGCCCTTACTGAAATGATGATATTTTCAAAGAAATTTTTGATACTTAGGAGTTGTCATAAAAGTTTGTAGAAAGAAACTCTTCAAGGATTTTCTTCCACTGGGCATGAGATCTCAGGAGAAAATCAATTAAAATATGTTATGGTTGATACTATCTTTTTGCCTCCCTTGAGTATAATTCTCTGTGCTTGGAAATAGTATCAACCTTTGCATTTGGGGCTAGAAACTGAGGTTTAATGATATGACTGTATGGTACCTCCATGAAAACATTCCATCTGAAAATAATCTCTAAAGTATATGAGGACGTTTTTCACTGATTTTATCTTTTTAATTAATGTTTAGGGAAATAATAATGATTTGTTATCATCATAGAAAATTGTTTCTTGTATGATCTGTTATTATTTCAGCAGTAATAGTTTCATGAAAGGGGTTGGAGATGACCATGTTGATTTTATTAACTTTGGCAATGAATAGAGATTACGGGAGTATAAACAAATAAATTCTGAAACTGGTTTATTTAAAATATATATTTGTAGAATGATATTTTATGAGTATAGGTGGAAAATCTTAGTAGCACTAAAAGCAAACAGGAGGAATGAACCCATATAATTATAGGGAATATACTTTATTTTATGTGGAAGTTATGGACAATCAATGGAAACTTCTAATCTAACCCATCTGGTACAAATACAGATGAAAATGCATTATATTACTGATTTTTATCTTACAATAGACACTTTTATGTGCATTGTGTAATGATAATTATATATGTATATTTATAAGGGCTTTGTTTATTGCTTGCTTTTAACTGATCTGACTAGTATGAAAAATATCACATTTCTTTGTCAC